GACAATGTTGTTTACGGCAACAAAAAAAAAAAAAAAAAAGTGATCATGGATGAAAATATGTTAAAGACGATTTTGATAGTTGAGAGATCAAAACTAAGAACGCCAGATGTTTTGTGCAAACGGAACAACTTTGCATCTTTTACATAATAATTTCACACCATCTATGTAACAACTATAATGAATTGCTTGTGTAGTAATTTTACATCACTAATTTATAACCGATGTATTATATTGTGTAAGCGGTGCATGATGGAAACACAAAATCCCAAACACAAGAGGTGATCCTTATTATTCCAAAGAAAATTATGGATTGTTTCTTTTTTTAATCAACTAGGTTCTATTTTATTCTCGGTTGAAAATTATGGTATGTACAACTCACTCATGGTGTCCATGCCATATAATATCAATGCAATACATGTTGATAATTTTAAACAGTAATTTCACAACAACAACAAAAATAAAAGGCAATAAAAAGAAAAAGAAAAAAAAAAAGAAGAAGAAGAAGAAAAGAAAATAATCGATATATTAAATCATTTTCATTGAGTCAAATTGATCGGAAATCAATTAATATACTATTTCTAGATGTAACATTTACATTATGATATGTATCTCCTTGTAAGGTTGGTTTACAAGCAGCTTAGTGGTTCATATTACCCTAAAGAACTCAAATTGATGGCGCTAAATTTGTTAATATTTGTTGAAGCTGTCACATATTGTTTATATTATATTCTCTCAGTTTCATAATAAGTGTACACCTTTAATACTTAGTTATTTAAAAAAATAATTGTCTCAATTCAAAAATGAATGTACTATATTTTATAACATTTTAAATTTATCCTTCTTATATTGAATTATAAAAATAATTAATTGTAAACCATCATCAAATCACCTAGACCCACCATGAGTAGATTTGTTAATTCATTCACTTCTAGTGTAATACAAAAGTATGAATAATGATTTAGAGTATGAGAGTAAGACAATTTCGGCTAATTTATGTAAGTTGAGACCGACGTCGTGACAGTGTCATTAATATTGTTGCCATCATGATGACAGTAATATCCCTACTCACATAAAATATTAAAAGTCACATTTGAAAAAGTTAAATTTGCAAGTTGAATTTGATTGTTTTAATTGATATGAGTTTAAAATGACAATATTTCAAAATTGTGATATTTGTTGTTTAAGGTATCGTTTCTTTAAAGATTTACTACTACTAAAAAAACCCACAAGTGAACGATGATTAAGCAGTCACTAATAAAAAATATTAAAAAATCTAAAGCAGTCAAGCTAGCATACTGTCACGAAGTGATTCCTAAGACGCTTGGAGGATGGAAGACACGCATGCTAGTTGGCAAAGAGTAGAGTTTGACTGGAAATAGTTTCAGGGAAGGGGCGTGCAGGAGCACAGGATGGAACCTCTTCAGAGTTCAGGCAGGTCGACTTGGTTGAGTGCGACGAGCTTGTCGCTAGTCGTGGACTTGACTATGAAGAAGGGAGTTGGCCATCCCTGCACAAACTGGTCGGGAGTTGGAGTCGTTCCCCTGATGAGACCAAGGCAGGTCGAAACCCGTCAGCATGTATCCTTGGGAGGGTAGGTCGTGGTGGCTGACTAGGGCGCTTGCGCGAGCTGAAGCAATGCCTTGGTGCTGCACGGGCTGTGCCGCTGCGCCAAATCTCTAGGTCCGTGATAAATGGTATCAGAGCAGGTCTTGGGGTAAAGCACGGTAGGGTGCCCCCTAATCGGTCCGGGAGGGGTCAGAGAATGACGACGGTGCACTGAAGCTGCGTCGATGAGGAGGAATCAATGTAGTTGGGGGGAGCCTCCATCTCCCCAGGAAGAGGCGTCCGTTGAAGTTGCACACTAAAGGGGAGGGTCGCGCGCACCAAAGTTCGTGCTTAGTCTTTGGGTGATGCAAACCATGGTGAAGGGCGAGCATCAAGTCGGCAAGAGGCCCTTGCTTGCTAGGGATGTCACAGAGGTGGCATGACGGAGAAGAGTCACGTCCTTGAGGAGTGGACGTCCCCTTAGTCCGAGGCCTATCATTGGGCGAGTGCAGTGCAGGGAGCTGCACAAGGAAGCGATGGTGGGAATAGGAGCATACCGCTTGGAGGCAGACTTTAGAAGGGAGTGGACGCAGTAGTGAAGCGCCGTACTGCGACGAGGGCGTCGCAGGATTTGGGTGGGGGAGAGTGTCACGAAGTGATTCCTAAGACACTTGGAGGATGGAAGATACGCATGCTGGTTGGCAAAGAGCAGAGTTTGACTGGAAATAGTTCCAGGGAAGGGGCGTGCAGGAGCACATGATGGAACTTCTTTAGAGTTCAGGTAGGTCGACTCGATTGAGTGCGAGGAACTTGTCGTTGGTCGTGGACTTGACTATGAAGAAGGGAGTTGGCCATCCCTGCACAAACTGATCGGGAGCTGGAGCCGTTCCCTTGATGAGACCAAGGCAGGTCGAAACCAGTCAGCATGTATCATTGAGAGGGCAGGTCGTGGTGGCTGACTAGGGCGCTTGCGAGAGCTGAAGCAACCCCTTGGTGCCGCACGGGCCGTGCCGTTGCACCAAATCTCTAGGCCCGTGACAATACGCTGCATATGTAATATAAACACCACACTCACTATAGCTGTAACAGAACAACCAAACCAAAAACCACAAACCCATTTCTATTTGGATATGTTATCACTACCAAACACTATCAAAGACCAACAAAATCCCAAACTAGACTCAGAAAACCAATTCCATGTGCTGGCTATCTTGAGGGGTATTTTCGACATAAAGAGAGTAAGCAAGAGCACACTCCAATCACATGTTCCTTTCACGTTAGTATTTGATGGCAGACTAATGGAAGTGAGATAACATGATAAGTTTTTGAAAAGTTAAGGAGGTTTCACAAAGGTAATACTAAATATTTTTCTTGCAAAATACTCCTTCAAGTGCAAAAAATATCATTTAAGTATGTTTATAGTGCATATAACACCCCTCTTGTGCAAATAAAACCCCTCAAGTTTCAATTTGGAGCAATCAAGTCCCTCTGGTAAATTTAAAACTAAACTTGACTAAAATACCCTTAGTCAACAATTTTATAAAATATATAAAAATACAAAATTTTGTAAAAAGACCAAAAAGGACAATAAATAGTCCCATCACGTGCCTCTCACGCCCCGCTTGTTTTACAAACTCCCTCTCCCTCACCCTCGTCCTCACCGACGCGAACCAACAACCTCGCTCCCAACCCAGAAGACTCAACGACCACTGTTACCCAATCACAGTCAGATACACTACCACCAATGAATGACGACGACGACGAACCCACCACCACCACCCTCTTGTCACCTGCTACGGTGCCGCGCCGCGCTTGTCCCGATCACCGCCATTGATGCCCATCCGCGAGGACTGCAAGTCTGAGGACGCTACTCATACTCTCATCGAAGCCCTGGGGCGAACGCTACGTCGAGCTCAACTGCGGCAACCACTGTCAGAAGCACTGGCAGGATGTTGCCGACGCCTTCAACGCCCGTTACGGCCACGTCAAAAAGGCTCGCCATACATGTATCCAGTGCAAGAACCGAATTGACACTCTCAAGAAGAAGTACAAGATCAAACGGCAATTACACCAACCAGTGGCCTTTCTTTCCCACTCTCAAATCCCTAATTGGCTCCTCCTACAAGCCTTCGCCGTCGTCTGCGCCTCACCGGATTTTAACATATTTTTAAACCCAAGACCAGAAAACACAGTTGCCTGCCAGAGACACTGTCAGATTTTCATGCTTCTTCCACATTCCAATAAAGATTCCCATTTACGTACAGACCCATTGTAGAAGGCGAAGAAAGTGGATCTCGATTCCCTTTCACAGACCCATTGATCCTGGGTTCGCAATCTTGGCATAGAGATTCGGCCACCGCCACCTCTAATCCATAACCCACAAGCCATCGATACGGCCGGTGGTACCCTGATTCGCAGTCGCCGTGTAGATATATATGTGTGTGTGTGTGTGTGTGTGTGTGTGTGTGTTTATATATAACGACCCGAAATTTCTAAATAAAAAATTCCTTAATTTATTTTCCATCATTCTCTCTCTTTCTCCATACCGGTCGGTTGACCCTGTGGCCTGGTGGCTTATAGGCTTAACATTTTTCATGATCCTGGGTGTCTAATGAAGTATTTTGATTCAATGAAATTGAGTATTTTATTTAGAAAATTCGAGACCGTTACATTATATATATATGTGTGTGTGTGTGTGTGTGTGAATGGATGAAATTGATATGTGTGTGTATATATAGATAGATATATATGTGTGTGTGTAAGGACAAAATAGGTATTGCATCACTAATTTATGTCAAATTTCTGACAGGAGTAATTTTGCACAATTTCAAAAGATTAGGGGTATTTATTGCACACTTTTTCAAATCGGGGGTAAAAGTGCTACAAAAAGTATAGTTCAGGGGTGTTTTCTGCACTTCCCCCTAAAAAAATAAGTGTCATACTTTCTTTTTTTGTCTGTTTCAAAATAATTATCCACTTTAAACAATATATTTTATATTTTTTCATATATGTCCTTTGAATTTTAAATTTCAAACTTGAATATTCAAAACTTAAAAGGACAATTTAATAAGAGACAATGCATGTCCCACATGTCTCCTTAAAAATTACACTCTCTAAAAATGACATTTAAATTAAAACAAGGAGTACATTTAATAACCATAAATATGTGTTCATCAATAAAATTTAAAAAAATTATGAGCGCCAGCTTAAACTTATCTATGCAATCATAAATAGGCAGCTTTAATTTATCTATACAAAATTACTATAAATAATCATAAATACTTTACCATAAAAAGTAAATTTGAGAAAAAAATTGGATTCCAATTGCACCAATTGAAAGTTACCCATAAAGGCCAAGCAATGGTGCCAAAATCCTCAACACACAGTGTGTGTATTATCTATCCATAGATATATATAAGCACATACACAGAACAAGTCACACACTAATCTAGACAATGGAGAATGGCATGGCTATGGAAGAAGTACCAAGCCAAGTGCGAGAAGTTATAACGGTGGCGTCCATTGCCACCGGTATCCAATTCGGGTGGGCCCTACAGCTCTCCCTCCTGACCCCCTACATCCAGCTCCTCGGCATCCCCCACATGTGGGCCACCTTTATGTGGCTATGCGGCCCCATCTCCGGCATGGTGGTGCAGCCTGTCGTCGGATACTACAGTGACTGCTACACTTCCCGCTACGGCCGGCGCCGCCCCTTCATTGCAGCTGGCTCCGCCCTTATCTCTGCGGCCCTCCTCATCATTGGCTTCTCCGCCGACCTTGGCAGTTTCCTCGGCGACCCCACTGCCAAAAACATCCCTAAGCCCCGCGCCATCGCGATTTTCATCATTGGCTTCTGGATCCTCGACGTGGCCAACAATATGGTCCAGGGACCTTGCCGTGCCTTCCTCGGCGACCTCTCAGGCAACGACCAAAGCAGAACCGGAAAGGCCAATGCCTTATACTCCCTCTTCATTGCGGTGGGAAACGTGCTCGGCTATACAGCTGGATCATATACTCACCTCCACGATATGTTCCCATTCACCATCACTGAAGCATGTGATGTCTACTGTGCAAATTTGAAGAGTTGTTTTATTCTCTCCGTTATTCTGTTATTGACCCTAACAGTGGTAGCACTTACAACAGTACATGAGAAGCCGCCTGTAAATAAACTGAAACCGAAAAATTCCGGTGAGTTTAAAGGGAAGGGGTTAGGGAGGTTACCGTTTTTTGGGGAAATATTCGGTGCGTTGAAGGAGTTGCCTAGGTCCATGTGGATGCTGCTTTTGGTGTCGTGTCTGAATTGGATAGGGTTCTTTCCGTTTCTGTTGTACGATACGGATTGGATGGGGAAGGAGGTTTATGGAGGGAAGGTTGGGGAGGGGAGGATGTATGATAAGGGTGTGCACGCGGGTTCATTGGGTCTGATGTTAAATTCGGTGGTGATGGGGATCACGTCGCTGACGCTGCAGTTCGTGGGGAGTGGCGGTGGTAGTGGAGGAGGGAAGAAGCTTTGGGGGTGTGCCAACTTTCTGTTGGCAATTTGCATGGCCATGACGGTCTTAGTCACTAAAATGGCTGAGTCTACAAGGCAGTTTGACACTATAGGTGGTGGTGGTGGTGATCCATTAGCGCCACCTGTTGGTGTTAAGGTTGGCGCGTTAGCTCTTTTCGCCATCTTGGGCATCCCTTTCTCAGTAAGTTTTCTTTCTAGAGGACGTCCACTTGCATTCTATCCAGAGTACGTATAAAATATGTATATATATATAGATATAGATATAGATAGATAGATAGATAGATCGATAACGGTTTGCATGTACCGGTCACTTCAAAACAAACTAAACGTGCTTTTGTTACAATTGAAATTTCATTTTTAAAGTTATTTTTCACCTTATTGGATTTTACAAGCTTTCACACTATGTACTCAATTTATTACAATAACATGATTTGATCCTTTTAATGGTTGTGCAGTTGAGTGCTATTGTTCCCTATGCTCTAGTCTCCATATTTTCTACCACTTCTAATGCTGGACAAGGTATCATCGCTCATCTGCTGATTTTGAACAATTTTTGGGGATTAATTTGTAATTATGGCTTTCTTCTAACATGATTGTCATGTTTCAATACCACAGGTCTCTCCATGGGAGTTCTCAATTTATCAATAGTTATACCACAGGTGAGAAATTTTATCAGTACATCAAAATTTGGTATTTGGAGTTATTGATAATTTAGTAACTCCCACCAATGATTATTTTATTTTGTCAAATGACCGGTAAAACAAACACCCTTTTGCTTACGCTCGGACTCAACCCCTCATCTCTCTAAAGATAAGAAGGCTATACTATTGGAGTAATATATAGCACTCCTAATGTATTTAATATTTTTCAGTGTTCCATGTAAGTCTTGTCACAAACATTAATTTTGCATACATGCATATATTTATAAACTACTGTCATTTACCAAAATTGTCTAGGTATTTATGAACATATGGTCCATTGCTAACTATTCTGGTGACCAATAACTAAATGATGATTGAGTGGTATGATATGGTTAATTTATGAATAGGGGTGACTTAAATGTAGACTAATATGGTTAATTATTGTATGAACAGATGATTGTTTCTGTAGTGAGTGGACCATGGGATGCCCTATTTGGAGGAGGCAATTTATCGGCATTCGTCGTTGGAGCCATCGCAGCCGCAGTAAGTGGGGTGCTTGCACTTACCATGCTTCCAACTACATCTTGATACATAATTTGTCAAAAATGAAAATAAAAAAATAATTAAAAATTTGATTCGGACTCTCTACTCATTTGCCAAATGTTTTTGAAATCCACTGTTTTAGTCATTGAAAATACATATTTGAATATTGTGGAGTCTAGTTTTCATCATGTCTACTTTTTTTCAAGTATATAATTAAAAAATATTCTTGTATCTCAAATTTTGACCAAATTATACTATTTACTTTTGACCGTTTTCGTATGATTATATTTTATGATATTTTCAACTGATTTATTTTTACAATAAAATCATTTTAATATCATGTACGACATACTTTGTATATTATTTTATCTGCCCAAAGCATGTTAATTTAAAAGAGAATTCATCAAAAGTGCTATGTTTGGAGTTAGCCCAATCCTAGCATTACTCTTGACATAAAGAGTACTACTATCAACAAAAGATTCCATTACTGATACAAAATTTAAACAATATGAACTTCTTTCATCTTGTATTACTTGTCTATGTTCATAATTTTAAGGTTTAAACATATTAGATGAAGGGAATGGTTGAAAAGTTTTTCTTTTTTTTTTTTGTTTGTAGGAAGGAATTATTATTATTATTATTATTATTTCATTTGTTAATTGCTTGGATCTTTAAACTTCTATTAATCAACTAATGAAATTCTATAATTTGGTTGGCTTGTTTATTTCATGAAAAATGATTAACATAATAAAAGTTTTAACCATTTGAAGAGACATTCGGCTCCCCCATTGCTTTTGTTTCATTCACCGTTTAGTGCAAATTCGGAAGGATGTTAAAACTTTTTCTCCTTGTGATATCAATTCAAAGATGGAGGGTTTTTGTGCACCCGTAATTACTATACTCTTTGATAAAATTGAAAATTATTTATGTATTGACAAATTTTGTTCCCCCCCGCCCCCCCCACCAAAAAAAAAAGGATGATAAAGAGTTGAAATGAAAAATTCACAATCATCCATTAATTTACTATGAAAGCAGATTACTTTCAATTATTCCTAGATTTGATATCAACTCGCAAGATTCATCGCGACGAATGGGACGAACCCTGCAAGTGAAGTAGAGCTTAGCAAACAACCAAGTTTGAGCTCCAAACGACAATTTGATTTAGTTGGCTTAAGTTAAGTGATCTCCAACTGTTTTGGGCTAATGTCAATGTTTTTTTAAATGTTAAAGGCCCAAGGCCCTTGTGTTATTGCCCTGTTTGGGCCCGTAATTTTTTTAAAAATATATACAAAAAAAAAAAAAGAAGAAGAAAGCCTCAGATGCTATGTGAGATGGGTAGAACCGTAGAAGATGGGAAATCCATAAGCCAGTCTTGTTTGAGAAAAAAGTGATCATGGATGAAAATTTGTTATGTTGCATTATTTGATATCAACTCGCAAATTTGCTGAAAATAGAAAGTTTAGAAACAAAACGTTATGGGAGGTGGAGGTGGAGGTGGAGGTGGGAGTTGTGTGATGTTGCGTAGTGATTGGAGGACATGGTTTTGGGATGGCAAAAACCCCAATTAAAGCAGTGGCAAGCACATATATGAGAAGATGACGCCGTCGGAGAAGAAGCCTGTCGCAAGGTAAAGGCCAATGCCGGCGGAAGCAAAGCCAATGGCGAGAAAGAGATTCGGTTAAAAAAAGGAGATTCCATTCAGAAAAATAAATAAATAGATAAAGTCTGCAGCCCACGTGTGTGACTGTCAAATCACAGTCGCAGCTGCTGTTGGGATTTATATGCCCTGGCATAGCAAATTCCTGTTTAGATTAAAGTGACATATGTTCTTGACGTTTCTGAAATATTTATGTTTTATACAATTGGTGAATTCAATGTATTATATTTCGATTCATTATAGAATTGATAGTGTCCATTTGATTACAAGAGATATTTATATATATGTATGTGATGGTAATCAATGCATGATATACAAATAGTAATCATAAATGGTTCATAGTCGGTAATTATGGATGAACTCATAATTAATTAAGATTTGAACTGGATCCGCGTTAGGTTGAGATATATTGCGAGAGCCGTCGTATGCAATTGCTCCCTATCACCGTCATGTCATTTGACTCTTAAGTACGAGAAAATTATAGACTCTTTTATTAATTAATAATTACTTTGATTTGTTCGGAGAATTCTTCGGGATCCTTAGACCGACACTTTGGGTAGTTATGTAATTAATAGTTAGACGGTTATATTTTCAATATTTGCATCATTGGTACTTGTATTTATTTTGTATTAATTATGGTTGATCACAAAGTAAATTCGAAGGCCTTCGTGTGTTTTTAGACAAAATGATTTATTATATATTTATTTATTTAAATTATTATTTTTGTCAAACAAATGTTTTATTGTGATCGAGCCAGAAATAATCAAAGGTACCAAAATAAATATATTAATTAAGTAGTCGGATTGATGGTTTTATTTATCCGATAACTAATTATGCATAGAGGAATCAAAGTGCAATATTGACTTAGAGGTTATTTATTATTTAATTGGAGTTCAATTAATTTCTTTTAGTGGAGTAGAAATTAATTTATGAATTGATTGAATTGGGTCCATAGACCGGGCCAATTATTAATTCATTGTAGCCAATAAAATAATAAGCCCAAAGGATTCTCACTCATAGCCCAACTTGATATTGGAATCATATTAGATTTGAGACATGTGAATTAGAGATTGAGAATGATTAGTTGTTTCCTTTTCTTTACTTTTATGTTGCCTATAAATATACATGGTCTATGTATATTTTAGGGGTGATTTTGATTATTAGGAAAAGAAAAGGAATATCTTTTCTTTCTCTAGAAAATTAGGTTAGTGTTCTCATCTAATGGAGGCTCCCACAAGCCTAATTTTCTAAGGTCATTCATGGAGGCTTATGAGTGATTTCTAAAGGCAAGACCATTACCAAGAAGATGGAGATCCATGAAAAAGGTGTCTAGCAAAAGGGATCTACAATAAGTGAGAACATTCACTTTAGAGCAGAGATCTAAGGTTTACTCAAACCTTGATGTAAGTATTCAATCTTTTAATTGTATGATACATCATATTTTATTTTTGCATAAAACTTGTCTCTATGTGATGAATCAAGATCTATGAATTAAAATCCCTCAAAAAGTTTTTAAAATTAGCATGTTTCCCAACAGTGGTATCAGAGCATGGTTTGATTCATTACTAGAGATCATGATTTTATGAAAATCATCATTTATGGATCCAAATTTATATATGCATATGTATATATTTTTATATGATCATGATGTATGTATATTTGTGATTGGATGAATGTTGATGTATGTATGGGCCATAGATGAAGCTTATAGGTTATTGGAATGTAATTTTATCTTTAGATGAATGTAATTAAGGCTTTGATTTAGCCGTTTGAAAATTCAATGATGTAATTTAATTTTTTTCAATTGTATTTCAAGTTGTAAATATTTTTGAAGCTATGTAATATTCATCAAAGGATGATATGAAGTTTCAAGAAGGTCCAAAAGGGTTAAATTATGCTTCAGTAATTTTCTGGAATTTTTCTGAATTTTTTGGAATTTTTCTGGAATTTTTTGAGGCTTAATTTAATTTTCTGGGAATTTTTCGGATTTTTCGGATTTTTCTGGAATTTTTCGGCGTTTTTCCGGTGACCGGAGCTTCGCCGGTGGCGAGAAGAGGCATCGGAGGAGGCTAGAATCACATGTGGCGCAGGGATGGTGAGCCTGGCGCGTGAGGAGCACGCGCCAGGAGAAAGGACTTAAAGAACATGCTGGCGCGTGAGATGCACGCGCCAGCCAAAGCCACACTCCTCCACGAGCGTGCATGCGCGTCCCACCCACCCCAGGCGCGTACCAGCGCGTGGGGGCGCGTCCCACACGTCCCAGGAGCGTGCCAGCGCGTGGGAGCACGTGGGGGCTCGTGTGTTGTCTTTCTGCTTGTTCCAGGCGCGCGTGAGCGCGTGTGGGGTCCTCGGGGTTCGTTTCAAGCAGTATTTTACTTCTCCTAACGCGTACAAGCTTCCTATGGATGTTTACAGACTGTTGAAGGATGCCCGCATAGCAAGAATAGTTTTTAAATGTTAAAAGCTGAGTCCATTGGACATTTAATTTGCTTTATCTGTGGTTTAATTATATATGTGATGCATGAAATAATTTAATACTAATTATTATTGTTCATGCATTGGATCCATGATATTTATTTAAATGGCTTGATTTATATTAGTTAAATTATGAAAATTAATTGGATTTGATTACTAATTAATTAGAGGGCACTTATTGGGAAACGAAAAATTATTTTTGTAAATTATTTTTGAAGTGTGCCTCAAATTAAATATTAGTGAATCATTTAAGTCCAAATATTTTCTAAATTTAATTGGATTAAAATCAAGACGTTATGCATACATTATATCATGTAAATAAATAAATTCAAAACCCTAATTATGAATGATTAAAAATTGAGGGGGAGCGGGGATTTTTATACATTACCCCGTGGCCTTCGTTATTAAAACCATTGTAATTAGATCTTCAAAAATAAGGCCCCATGCATGATTTGAAGAGTCTTAATATTACAAGAATGGTTGTCTCATGAAAATAATAATATTAAATGTTCATTATAATTAGATCTTTAAAAATAAGGCCCTACGCATGATTTAAAGAGTCTAAATTATAGTGACAAGATATTTAATGTATTATTTTTCATTAGAGCATTAATAACGTTATACACTCAATCTAAAATCAATAGTGTTAGCTCCCCAACGGAGTGGTTTACACTAGGTGATTTTAGAAAGGCTAAACATAATCGGGAATCATTTCATATAAATAGACAAGGCATTGTCTTAAGAGATATGGAGACGATGGGATTTGCCCGCCAATAGCAATAATGAACTTCGCCAACCGAATAAGTTATTGGCGTATTGGTTATCCGATTTTTCATGCAGTGGTTAAGGGACCCACATACTATTTTAATGGAAGTGCTCTCTTAATAGTAAATGAATCTCAACAATAGTAATAATGAACTCCTCCAATAGGATAAGTTATTGACATATTGATTGG